ATCATAACGCCTGAATACTGGGTTTTATGCAGCACATTTCCTCTCCCAACCTTCGCAAGTTCTTTGAAGTTACTCCGTTCTATTTATTCAATATCGTTTCTATTCTATTGCAAGGAAACCTGTATTTTTCATACGCTACTTTCTGTATCTTGATTTTTATCTTTATTTCTGTTCTTCTTTCTCATTTTTTTATCTTTGTTTATATTTATTTTCATTATATATAAATGTATAAAATAGAAACGGACTCAATGCTCAATTTATGTATTTCGGCTCGAACACAGCATTCATTTGTTCCTCCACATGCGCTGCGAACTATAGTTGGCATTCCATCGTACATGTTTTAATCGTGAGTAACAGGCTTTTCTGACAAGCATCTTTCTCAATCGCCATCAAATTTTTGTTTGAGATTCTTTTGTAAGCCCTTTTCATATCTTACTGTGAATACCTTGCTTCGTCAGTTGTTGTGCTTTCGAGGCAAATCTGCATTTCTCTGAGATTGAATGATGATGATGATTAATGATTAAAAATCGATGTGCACGTCAATAAACAAACCTTTTACAATAATTTTCACGATCTTTTCGAATTGATCTCGTTTATTTACTCTTCTGCCATGTCGCATCCTCAAAACTGACAGTGGTTTTACTAAATTTGTTTCTTTGTTTTATTAAGCGAGTAAAATTTTATCAGAAAGTCTTACATGCGAGAGATACCCTATTCCCTATTCTCTGAAGCGAGGGCGTAACAAACACCATATCGTCGTTTACCAGCTGACGTCCTTCGTTGGTGATTCATCCATTTGTGCAAATGTTGAATGTGCTTTCATTGCATGTGAAGTCTATTCATCAGCCTGACACGTGACCTCCATGCATAGGTACGATAATTGCATTTGTTAATGTGACGCATGAGTTAATAAAGTCAGAGATCACTTAGATGTGCTGATCTCTAATACGAAAATGCCTAAGAAACTATCGGCATTAAGAAAGCTATCGATACCAGTTTAAGTAGAAGGCTGCAAAGCACAGATGCCATAGTGAATGATCAACGGAACTACTGACTCATTCCTCTGGAAACAAAAAATATCGTAAATGGAATGAACAAAATTAACGTACACTGCTTTAAACGGTACAAAAACGCACTCCATATATGGATTAGTTTATACTGATTGATGAGGATCACCAAAGATTTCCAATTACTAGACGAAGCCTTTGTA